TCACTATTGTAAAGACTAACCGTGATGTTGTCCGCGTCAATGAAAAGCTTTGGAGGAGTCCTCTTTCAAACGGTCCAATTAATGTCATGTTTGGTCCTTACAATAGTGAAGAAAAAGCTTTCTGGAAAAATAGCCTGTCTCTAGTGAGATTCTCAAGTCCACAAAATTCGAAGAGCCGCCTTACGATTGAGATTCCTTGATCTTAAAAGTCTTTGATCAAACTTTATAAAATATCATTATTTTTGAGAAACAGCCTTACTTTTATAAAGTTAGAAATTTTTCGTTACCCGTTACCAGTTACATGGCAACACAACTGGGTGGAAACGGTAACTTTCCTCCCCTAGTTGTTGAAAGGATGAATTGAAGTTGCACTAATAGCACTTGCGATAATTTTGTCTTTTGAAATTTTTTATGTTCGGTGTTTTTTTCCTATCAAAGGAGGTGAGCACATAAGAAGTCAAATAGGCCCACCAGTACTTTTCTCGGTCATCTGTGTCGAATCATATATCTATGGAAAGAGCACGTTGAGATTGACATTTTGACACTAGTTTTAAGATGTTTTGATTGGATTTTGAAAGCTAAAAGCTATTAACTAAAAATACATTTTTAGTCATTAATTTAGTAATTGATAATATCATCATGGATTTCGTTTCAGAATAAATAGACGACACAAAATAGTTCTGAATTCATTTATTTCATAATTCTTTGATAGGGCTTCAATCCCAGATATGAATTGCCGACCGAGTAGTTAATTCCGTGACATGTAGGTCTAAGATACTGGTAAGCACTATTGATATAAGTTCTATATTTATCATTTCATTGTATACTTTTACAAATACTTTAAACTGAAAATTGAAATATGCAAACTATTGGTATTGCTCATTTGATAGCTCTTTTCAAAAGCTACCAAACTGTATGTTTCCTAAACACTAAATACACTGGCCACTGAGGTAATTCCTAGTCACATTGTGCAATGAGTCCAGTTTTTGTACTTTTACAACTAGTATTTAGCCATTTCTCATCAAGAAAATTCCAGAGTATGTCAAAACTAGTATCATATTCGGAATCAGTATTAAAAGCTTGACCGGGGTGTGGGTGTGGGTGTGGGTGTGTGGGACGTGGGTGTGTCGGTGTGGGTGGGTGTGGGTGTGGGTGTGGGTGTGGGTGTGGGTGTGGGTGTGGGTGTGGGTGCGGGTGTGGGTCTTCTCTTCATTCACACCCATACCCACACCCACACCCAATACATATAGCAAAAACGAATTAGTATAAATGAGTAAATAAATTTCAAATATAATAATTATGGAAAATGAATGCGTCGTCCAAAATTACAAGTTGATCTGCAGTGACTTTTTCTCGATGTTCATTCCATACATCTTGATGAGTACGACAAAATTCAAAGAGACATTTCTTGATCAATGACCAAAAAACGAGAAAGATAATATGTGTATATGTGTGTTGATGAAATATTAGCATCTATGTTACATACTTGTATCAAAGTGGGATCCTTTGAACGTCTACAGAGAAGTATTAATGCATCTGGTACATACGTTAAGATATCGTAAGGACTATATTGAACAATAGCACAAAGACTCAATACACCTAGAATAATAATGAAAAATTAGTCTAGAACTTATGTTCGATTCTGAACCAATAAACTGTTGAGTTACATATGAGAGTACATCTTTTGCTAATTTCATATATATTAATGTTTATGTATAACAATTTTGAAGATAATCATTATTTAAAATTTAGAATTCGCACAATAATTCTTTCATTTAAAGTCTACTATAAAGGTAAACTCATTTGTGAGCAACACGATTCAAGCAAAAGGACATTACTTCTGATCATAAGCATTTTAATTTAAAAAATTCTAAATTAACATATAACTTTAAGAAGTCAAGTTTAGTATTTGTTAAGTACTTAAACACTGTGTAGGCGAAGATTTTCCTAGCGTTTATCAATTTTTTCAACAAATACATTAATTTGTCCTTTAGGGTGTGGGTGTGGGTTTTGGGAATATCTTCTATGTGCAAATTCACACCCACACCCACACCCCCAGATGTTTTGAGAAACATGGAAACAAACATTGACTTATATGAAACTATTTCATGTTCGTATCCGTCTCATCTTCGTGCCGTAAAGAAAGCTAGTGGTCATCATACTAATTATTGGTGGTGCTCATCAAACCTTAAGTGATAAATAGTACTTTGTGATATACTTCATTTTAAATGAGATCTAGTTTGAACTGCCTTACGAAAGTAATTTTTTCAATGTCAATATGATGCAAAATTCTAAAAATTTTCTGAATTCGACACTAAAAAGTTGCCATATCTGTTACTATTTAGCGCCAATAAATCCAATTTTCGACGCAATTTAATTTGGTATAAAACTTGTTACGAATGCTATTTGAAGTTGTAGCGTTACTCCCCTGAAAAAACGTTTTTACGCACCCTGTACATTGAATTTTTGTATTTAAGTAATTTGTGTTCGTTTTTTATTAGTTATTCTTAATTTTTTTATGCAGACTTTTTAGTTAGTTATATTTGAGTGTAAGTGGGATAGATGCACGACGCTTTAAGTACTTGATGATTATGTCTAACCTTGAAGGATGAAAAGAGCTTCTCGTTCTCTAAGTTCGATTCAATCCTCAATTAACATGATAGACGAATAAGAGTTCTACAAAGAAAAGAAACTTCCATAGGGAACTTGATCATTTTTCTGGGATTGCCACAATACTCTTAGATCTTATTTCACTTTGTAGAAGGTAGTCTCATGAGAAAATGTAATAAAATAAAGGGATTGTGTAAAAATAAACATGAAATCGATTTTAGAAAGAGATCCTGTCGTATCATTACTTGAATTCACCAATGCAATTCCATTTCTCCAAACAACATCATCATCGTTATTTTCAGATCTTTCAAAAATCTGCTGATAGCTCGTTGTTAACTTAGAATGAACGAGTTTTGGTTATTCAAGATCGAAATCGAATCATACACATACACTGACCATATGCTGAGCAAACATACTTATAGATAGAAAGAATGAAATGAAGAATAAGTGAAGAGAGAAAGCGAAAGCGAAAGCCGATAGAGATCTAATGATAAAGTTGCCCTATATCGCACAATTATTTGAGATACTGCCGTTATATCGTAATGATTAGAATGAAAGCAACACGTCTCTAGTAGAAAATTTGAGTATTTGGGATACTTTTCATCTTTGGATTAATTGTTTTGACAGAATAAAAAAATCTTGTATTTATTTTATCATTTATTTGGGTGAATGATATTTCTAAGAAAAAATGACACACATTCATCAAACCATACAAAACAAAAACATTTTATAAAAAGAACAGACAGACTCATAAATTAATGTATTCCATATACCATTTTGCATTATGCATCATTATCTTTTTCATTCTGCTGTTAAGTTCTTGAAATGTTTTTGTATCAATATTCTCATTATTGATTGAATATGTGTTTTTGACTGGTTGAATAACATTATTCGACATCTCTAAATATCGGAAAATATTTTCATTTGTTTTTGGATGTCACACGGAACTTGAAATATCGATTGTTTTCCAAAACAAGATATCTTTTTCTTGAATCGATTCAAGTAATAATTGTCCATTGACAAATATTATTTTCCATTTCCACTCAGGAAGAGCTTTGACACAATAAAGCATCAAATATTGTGGTATGTCATCATTGTACGAACCTCTTTTTAATAAGTACTCTGGTGGAAAGCATAAATCAAAATGTAACTGTAACGAATCGCAAGACGAATGGCTACTTTCAGGCATCAATGCTGATTTTATCATGAGTAGGTGTGTACCAGTGTCAGTAACTGGGTTCCAGTCCCGACTGCGTATTTAGTCATTTGACGTTTATTCCGCTAAACGATCAGTACTTCCCTCTTTTCTAAGGGTATGGGTATCATTATTGTCATTCTAACCATTCCCAAATCCAAACAACACCCACACTCACATCCACACACACACACCAACACCCTAGCTACACTCACATCCCGAAGACATGAAATTTATTTATAGTCTTCTAAATTATAACGATTGATATATAGAAATATATGATTAGCCAATGAATTCAGTGTTATAGTTTATATTAGTACTTCAACAGTCTAAGAATCACTATATGACAATATATTAGAAAAGAAGAAAGTACTACTCGACTAATGGACTAAAGATCGAAGGACTCAGTACCCAGTCGTGACTGGATCCCGGTCGGACTGGACACCCAGCCAGGACTGGGACTGGTGCATCCTTAATCGTGAGCAACGAACCAAATTTCCACATAACTGATGGGCCAAATTGTTCACAGAATTGTGAATACTTGTCTTTGTCAAGTGAGTTTGGATATTGACGAAGAACAATGAAACAGAATTTTTCCATTAACATCTTCATCCAGATAACATTCAATTGAAATACGTCAATTTTCTTACTTAAATCGATCGATAAACCGAAGTGAGGTGAATCATCCAGTAACGACAACTTCAAAGTGGACGCTAGTGAAACAAGTGAATCGCGAGGTAATTGAACAAAAGTCCATATTTGACTGTTGAGCAGTATTGGAACATGTTCACATTCTAAATTTAATTTTCGATATGGCATTAAATTTACATTTCCTTCAACATTGATAACCAAAACATTGTGCCATGGTGTGCGAAGAACACAATGATTATTAGATTGGACCATGGTGGCATCCATGAAAAAGCGAATTGTAAATTTTTCTCCATCATTTGGATGTTGATGAATGGATAGACGAATATGGTTCGGATAGTGTTTTTTTAACAGATTTGTCAATGCTTCATTTCGTATCATCATTTGTTTGGCGATTAAACTCATTTGAGTTTTTAATTGTCGACGTGAAAGATTATTGTTTTCAGTGTTGTTACCCAAATCATTTTCCATGAATTTTCTCAAATGAATAAATTGTTCTGGATTATTTTCGGATTTGAGTAACCATTGATCAAAATCAAAAGTTGATGTGCCATACTTCTTCACTAAACTTTCACCATTTCCAACTCCAGTATAATTATCCATACTATCCCATTGTATATGAGTCATTGTCATTGAATAATATTTTAAACGACTCACATATGTGAACATGTCACTGTCGGATACACCAATAAGATCATTAAATACTCGTCCATCAGACCATATTACCAGATCACAACCATATTCATAGAGAAAATTGATTTCTTCACAAATTCTGTTTAAGTATTCCAGTGCATATAATTCTCCAGCATCGGGCAATTTTCCACAAACTTTTTCCATATTCGGAGATTTGAATGGAAATGCTGGCAAAAGTAGTTTAATTGGTTGATTTTCTTGTGTAAACGCTTGAATTTTCTTCAATAATTCATCTCGTCCACATTTTTCATATAAATCACCTTGTGATATTGAACGAATTGATAATAATTTCTTCTCAAAAATATTAACAATTTTTAATTCCAATGATGACATTCTTTCTTCTTGTTAATTTGACTGTTGATCGTTCAATTGAAATAGACAATGAATAGGCAAATATCTCTAAATAAATTCAAATTAAGACAGAAGGCAAATTATATACTAAGTGCTTTCACAGAAATCTACCTTTGATTCTAACTATAAAGAATAGTTGGTTAATGTGAATATACTGAATTGTAAGCATGTATTTATACATATGATGTGTGCTGTTCAGAAATTCCTACAACTACGTGTACAAGAAGAGATGACGCAGTGAGAAAGAAGATAATTCCTATCAGAGCCTCATGTGTGATGGAACGGGATAAAAAAGAAATCGTCCCATGGGACATCATATTTGTCAAATTGTTTTCAAAAAAAAGTGAAATTTATTAATAGATTTATCCGTCTGACTAATTATACAATATTATATTATTTCATCTTGTATTACATAACTTTACTATAATCAAGTTCACAATTTTTCATATTTACAACAAAAAAAAAACATATGATACTTTCTTTATAAATACAAAATATTAAAAAAAAGGTTATAAATGAAATACTACTGCAACTACATATTAACTGGTGGGCTGTGAGTATTAGTGTTCTCTTTACATCCTTAATCGTTGTAGTTTACACTTTATACACATCTTGATAATGAATATTTAATTCTTCAAAACGTCGATCATACTACTATATATATATATATATATATGTGAATACATAAATTGTACATTCAAATTGTATATGTATATATATAAATACAAAAGAAAATTATACGAATAATAGTAACTACAGTCCCTATACAATTACAACCCTTAAATATGCTATATGCTGCTGTAAAAACAATACTATTGAATCTAGAACTAAGGAATGTTATTAATAAGCTAAAATATATTGATGTATAACCATTCACGAGCTTGCTCGTGTGATCGGAATGAGAGGTAATGCTAGATAAAAAAAAACATATTAAGCACCTACCTCTCGAAGAATCTTTATTGAAACGGCTAGAGCTTGATGCGTGAGCTAAGTGATACAGGGCAAAAGTTAAGAAGAATCATAGTTTACTTTTTGTCATTCTTACAGAGTACAAAGTGCGTGGGACTTTGTCCTTTTTATTCTTAGAGATAACAACACGTCATTATGATCTGCAAACATGAGTCGTGACTAACCGTTTCTTTTCTTTACATATATTTTGAATAATGTGTTTGTAAATGACAAAGCAGTTAATGTTGCCTGGTCAGAACCGATCTCTTCTATCCAATTCTTTGCAGTCAAATTTCAGTATGAATTTTTTGCAAAAGTCCTGACCATGTTCGACTTTAAAAAGTTATGGGTGTGGATGTTGATCTTCTCTTCACCCACACCCACATGACAGGAACGTTCTGTGTCCTGCTCTGGTCACCAGACTATGTTTTGAATGTTTCCATTTTCTAACTTTTCTTCAAAATTATTAGTCTACCAAAAGTTTGTTCATTATGAATCTGAAAGTCGAGCTTTGACTTGTTCTAAAACCACCGACATATTAGATATCCCTATATTAGAAGACTCTTCCATAACAGAAGATCTCCTCTGAAAATTAACTTTTTTAAACAATTTTATGCAATTTATTGATATTTTTTAGCTTTAATGTACATATCAATATCTAAGGTCAGCGTGGACAATATTTTGCTGCCGTCATCTTGGCAATGCGTCAATCTGAAGTTGGATATCCCATGAGATAAAACTAATAAGAAAGAACAATTAATTAGAAAATGCGTTTTTCCACTAAAGGAAGTGCGTTCAAGTCATTTCACTGCTCATTTGGATTATGTTCTCAAGAAATTTTTGATGTTTTCTACAAGAAAAATTTGTCCTTATCTTTATAGGATCTAATAAACGCGATACGCATACAAACATGTCACATACGAAGAATTCTTTTTGAAACGAGAACGCATTGAGTAAAATATCATTGTATATTACTTAAAACGATGTTCTATCTATAGGCTTTCTTCTAGAAATTCGGGTATGTTCTTATCACAGAAGAGCTCATTCATAATTGGAAAAAAAAACTATCTCCAGAAACATGCATTGAGTCGTGTTCTATGAAATACGGCTTCTACATATGAGAGCGGATTTCTTATTGCAAAAAGATACAAAAGCATTGTTTGAAATAGACATAAACGATCGTAAAAGCACTTTCAATGTGTATTCAACAGTTTTTTTATATATGAACTGTTTCTTAGGGGACAACGATATTCATTCAGATCAGCTATAATCTAATAACTCAGGTCGTGGTACATTTCACTGTGAACGCATTCCATCTATACTAGTCAAATCACAACATAAGCAAGAAAAATACCGTTATTATAAACCGTGCTATGGTTTTACGATATGTTGTTTGTAGTGTTCCAAGAATAATCTCCTTACCAAAAATTGAATCAAGGGCTATTGAAATATGAGAAAAAAGAAAATTTAAGTCATTACTTTGACATAGAAACATCGAAAAGAATGTAAAACAAAAATGATAGAAAAAAAATTTCTGAAGAGATGATTGATTAATTTTTGAAGGAAGTATTTATTTCAAGCGCTGAAGAGTACTATCTTTTAAAAGTTACGAAACGTTTCAACGAAGCTAAACTCTACATTCAGTTTTATTTACAAGCACATATTATTTGCAACTAATTTCAACAATATAATTGATTGTACCCCTTTTGATTTGAATTCTTCATGTTGACTGTCGATTTTCTTTGACTTCCGTATGAATGAATTCTATCGGATATTAAGGTGTCCTTTGATTGTAATATAGGTTTAGATTTCAAACCTACCTGGTGATCAACGATTAAACAAGGTTCGAAACACGTCGCATGGTGATTTAAATCTAGTTCTTTCGACACTCATCCATTATGTGAGATTTTCTACGATATCATTCTTATTTCGAAACATTAGATTGAAGTTTGGAGTTTAGCTCTGAACTTCCATAACTTTCTTTTTTGGATTTGGGATATGAATTCTATGTAGAAAATATTGATTCCGAATTTACCTGACAAGTTCCTTAAGCAAGGACGAAATGTGTCATAAAAGAGCTTGGAATTAATCTTTGGAAACTCACCCATCCCACCCTCACACAGTGGGCAGTAAGTAAAGGTCAGGAGCAAAAACAATTTTCAGTATTTTGATGAAACTTTTTTTTTTAGTGAAGGATATTTAAATACAAGTAAATATACTTTTGTAGCATGCTTGATGTGCTTTCATATGAGATACTATTCAACTGTTTTTGCGCATAATGCAACCGAGAAAATTAGAGCCCAAGAAAAACTTTTGTCGCCTGACTGTCCACTATGCTTTAGAAGTTCTTAGCTTGCATAAAAGATAACAATTTTTTTCATCTCAGAAGTGCTGTAAAGCAAAAAACCTCTTATATACTTCAATGTGTCACGTGAGAAACGTTATCTTTCACCTTTTTATTTGAGAAACAAAAAGAAAACATAGTTGCAAAATAAAACGAATTGAGAATAACAACATTCATAAATGGACAGTACACTTGGCAAAAAACGATCGAAAAAAAGTAAATTAACCCGGATTTTCAAATTCCGACGGTTGTACAACTATTTTCGACGTCCAATGCTTGAGCAGCCTGCAGTTCAGAACATCGAAACTAAAAACATTCAACAAGAAAGTGTCAATCAAAGGGAACAGGGAACAAATGTTGGTGTGCGCAAGCGTCAAGTGCAGAAACTGATTGTGCAAGAATCAAGTGGGCAAGGAATAATTGCACAAACTTCGATTCAGCAAAAATGTGCCAGCACCATGGTTGAGTCATCAACCTGTATTCCATATGAAACTCACGTTCAAACAAAGATTTATCAAACCCATGATACGACGCTAGATATGTCATTCACTTCCATTTTACAATCAACGATGAAGTCACAATCAGTTAGCGATAACAATGTAAATGCCAGAAACCGATATCGGCTTCATGAAACTATCATACGTGTGCTCAATATTCCATACATTCTAACATTTATCGTATTCTTGTTCTATGTTTTGTTGGGCAAGTCAATTAGTTTAAACCGTTATACTTTATTATTTCTTGGATTCACTAATGCACTCTGTTGTGGAAGGCATTGTGGCCAAATTATGCTAGCATACGTAATAATCTTTGATTGTTACTCCATCATTAGAACACTCTATTGTCTAATTATCTTAGATCTTAGTCTCTACAATATATTATCATTAATTTTTTTTAGTGGTGCTACAATGTTTGGTTATCGTATGAAACGTAATAAGGTCACTTATGAAAATCTGCTATTCCTGATATGTATTGGCGATATAGTTATTAGAGGAATTACAATTAATATCTATTGCGCTGTAGTAATTGGTCTCAGTCTTATAATAGTATCCATATTAATATATTACGTTCTAAAATTGATATTTGAATTTCTCTTCAAAGTTTTTGAACAAATGATGTTATCTATATGTATGGGTATAGGGCAGATTATTGGAAAAATTCTTGAAGAAATTGTATCATCTATATTTAAGGAAATCGGAAGAAGCTTACGGCGCTGATGGAACACATGTTTACTGGCAAAAAATGTTACTCTCATTAACTGTCACTTTATAAAAAAAAAGGAAAACTCATTTTCACTTTTGAATATTGATTAAGAGTCATCAGAAATGTTGTTGTGTCATGAATACTGATCAACACATCTGCTCAGCTTTTCAATAACTTCTCTATTAAGTAGATAATGGAAAAATGGGCACTAAAAGGCATTTTTTTCTCTCCATTTATGACTATTTCGATTATTAAAATGTATGAAATGTATCATCTACTACGATATTAAGTATTAAAATAATTTTTTCACTGGATGACAGAAATGAATTACAAAGTAATTCAGAGAAACGAATTCCTGAATAATTCAATTTCTAGCAGTTTTTTAAATAGCCTATCAGCTCGTCTATTTCTCGTTTATGGGGATGAGAGTGTGAGAGTGAGGGTGTAGGTGAATGGGTCATGGTGACGAGAGAATCGCTTCAGCTGT